AACGATGCGATCGAGTTCGTGTAGAATTGCAAGGGAAATCGAAAGACATTGAAATCGCAGCACTCTGTTATCCTAAGATTTGCTCGCCCCTTTTGACAACGCTTGACCTTGACCGACATACACACCTGCAAGGGTTGGATCTGGCTGATGAAAGTCTGCTTAACGACAGTGATTCGGCACAGAATATCGACATCTTAATTGGTTCCGACTACTATTTCGACATAATTACGGGTGAGATACAACGGGGAGACGGGGGCCCTGTGGCAGTTAATAGCGAATTCGGATGGATGGTCTCCGGCAGTGGTTATGCAAAGACACCTGGAAAGAATGCAACTATCACGCAACTCATTGTTCAGAAAACGGATTTTGCGCTGATGTTCGATCCAGTGGAAAGTGTTGGAGACGAAGGTTTGATCCGCGCTGTTCAAAGGTTTTGGGACACAGAATCGCTTGGCATCTTCGAGCCAAACCCGTCGCTGGAGAAGGAGTTTTGAGAGATTCAAATTTCGACAAGAACCAGGGTCGATATCAAGTGAGCCTTCCCTGGAAGGATGATCGTATGCCCACAACAAATGGATATTTTCCATGTTTGAAACGACTACGGCAACTGCATTCACGCTTGAGAACTGATCAAGAGCTGCTTGAACAGTACGATGAAGTCATACAAGAGCAAATAAAGTCAGGTATAATCGAGAAAGTCCCTGGATGTTCGGCAAGCGATGAAGCAACGCATTTTCTACCTCATCACGGCGTGATACGAGAAGATAAGGCGACTACGAAGGTTCGAGTAGTTTTCGACGGGTTAGCGAATCACGGTTCATCGAATTTGTCCCTCAACGACTGCCTGGAAAAGGGACCGAACTTAGTTCCCCACCTATTTGACGTCGTTGTAAAGTTCAGGGGTTACCCTGTAGGAATCGTGGCCGATGTGGAAAAGGCGTTCCACCAGATTGGGATAAATCCAGATGACCGGCGAATGTCGCGCTTCTTGTGGTTCGACGATATACGCAAGGAACATCCAGACATTGTTGAATATCAGTTTTGTCGCCTAGTATTTGGGTTGACCCCAAGCCCAGCTATTTTAAATTCGGTTATACAACGTCATTTGGAATCGCACAAAACGAAAGAGCCCGAAGTCGTTGCATTGTTGCAAGAGTCGTTCTACGTGGATGATTTGGTTGGAGGTGCGATGGAAGACGACCAGGCTTTAGAAATCTACGAAAAAGCAAACGACATCATGAACTCTGGCGGATTTAAATTGCGAAAATGGAATTCCAACTCGACAATTCTGCGGACGAAAGTCGCCGGCGAACTGAAGTGCAGTAAAGTCGACGAAACCGTATTAACTGAAGTGAAACCCCTCGGGAGTAAGCAAGACGTGTTTACCAACTCGACAGAAAAGGAAAACCGAACTGAGAGAGATTCAAACGAAGCGAATGACGACATTTTGTCCGCGCGATCCGAAGCTGATGACGATCCGAAACCAGAATGTTCTATAAAAATTCTAGGACTGAATTGGAATATCAACACTGATGAAATTCACTATGACCTAACTGCATTGGTGAACTTTGCGGCAACACTTAATCCTACGAAGCGATCAGTGCTACGACTCGCGGCTAAAGTGTTTGATCCACTTGGATTCCTTACCCCATTTACGATCTGTATGAAAGTTTTCCAAACTCTGTGTGTTCATGGCGTTAATTGGGATGACGTGTTATTAGCGGCATGGAAAAGATTTATCGTAGACCTCTCAGCATTGAACGACATTCGAATACCTCGATGTTACTTCCGAAGAACCAAAGAGAAACCGACAGGTCACCAGCTTCACGGGTTTAGTGACGCCTCATCGAAGACCTACGCAGCCGTAGTGTATTTGCGAACAGTTCATCATAACGGAGAGATTGAAGTAAATCTTGTGGCCTCCAAAACGAGAGTGGCTCCGATAAAAATACAATCCATACCACGACTAGAATTACTGGGTGCAACTATCCTAGCTCGATTGATGAACTCTGTCCAGAAAGGGCTAACGTCATTGAACACGACTCCTGAAGTATTTTGTTGGACTGATTCTTACACAGTTTTGTGTTGGATCAGAAACGAGAAAGTTTGGAAATCTTACGTCAATCATCGTGTCCAAGAGATACGGGACCTTGTCGAGAAAGAATCCTGGAGATTTTGCCCAGGCGAACAAAACCCCGCAGATTTGCCATCTCGAGGAAGTCGCGGAATTGAGTTAACGTAGAATACGACGTGGTGGAACGGTCCAGAGTTTATTCGAAGCACCGAGGAGGCTTGGCCGAGTGAACCAGGACCTACAAAGAGTGACGAACTGAGCGCGTTCGCAGAAATCACGAAGCCCAAGATTGAACCAACGATAACGAGAGCTTTAGCCAATGTTACGATCACCCCACCTAACGTAGAAGCCATCATCGATTGCAACCGGTACAGTACCAAAGAGCAACTTTTACGAGTAACAGCGTTATTAAAGAGATTCGGTGACAAAACGAGGAGACAGCCAGTGCCAATTGAAGTAACTGCGAATGAACTAAGAGCAGCTGAAAAACTTTGGGTGAATACCATACAGGCAAGCAATTTCGAAGACGAAAGGTCATATCTCCAAGGAGTTTCAAAGGAACCGCTGAAGGCGAACGCAAGGAGTACAGTTGTTGCTAAATACTTCCTACGAAGTCAGAACAATCGTAAAGATACTGTGTGACACAATAACGTGATTTAAGTTTATTAATAGTTATATTAGTACAAACATTAACCCTCGGGAGTGTATCGAACGGTTCAGGTTTATATTAACATTATAAATGATAGTAATGACGTAGAGACAACGCGCCAATCAGAAGCTAGTGTGGCACGCCCACAACCCGCCTTCTTTTAAGAGTTCACGCCTCCAGACATGGCGAAAATATAACAAAGCTAGCGCCAGTGCCGAACCGGCTGTTTTATTGTGATATGTGTTTAAATGTTATTAAATATATAGTAAAATTGAACGTTGTTTACAGTACTCAGTCAGAACTGTAAAACTATATTAATAAGAAAGAAATTGTGAGCATTATCGAAAGATACAATATACTCTGAAATGTAGTAACACAGGATTATTTCATCTTATGCTAACAATGGACATATCTCAGAGGCCTTATACAAAAGTCAGTTGACATACATACTATTACATGTAAATTGTAATTGCTGGTATAAAGTCAATAGACAATATGTCACGTCCAGACAACAATCCACACTGGGTTGCTCTAGGAATCTTATTACAGTAAGCCTCATGATTTAACAATATTCTGCGTTTGTTTTTAAACTATAAACATCTAGAAAATGAACACTATATAAACTCATCGTCTTGGCTGGCTTGGCACATAACAAACAAATAAACTATAAAGTACATTTTGACTCTTTGTATAAATAAGGCATTATTGACGAATAGATCGGGTGAGCTATCATTAAAATTAAACTGCCCGTAAATTCATGAAATCATATTGTTTCAATACCTCAGAGCTCTTAAGTACATCTTGTCTCTTTGTATCAAGACATTATTTTAAAATGTTCTAAACGCAGACCTGCCAACTCTCACGGATTTCCCGTGTGACTCACGAATTCAGGCATTATCTCACGGACTCACGGAAATATTTTCAAATCTCACGGATTCACAATTTTGAAATTTTAACCACCACTAGACTTTAAAATGGGAGTGATTGATGTGAAATAAAACTAGCCATTGACGGTAATTCTAATTTGTAAAAAATCCTCCGCCATTTTGAATAACCTAAGCGGCATGCTCCATTAGTATCGCCGGCGCAGAGCGGGAAATTTACTTGCAAGAAAATGGCGGAAGCAGAAACTTCTCAAATCGGCCAATGGCCGGAGTAGCTATTCCTGTTCTATATTCACATCATCCCATATTGAGGAACTTGATTTTTACCCCCTAGGAATTTCCAAGGTTGAAAATGCGGGTCAGTGGTTGAAAATCATCCCCCTTCCTATGGAATTCCAAGGTTCGTCAACAGAGGTGTGTGGGATAAAAATTGGAATAGTATCCCGAATTAGTAAAATACACTCGTATAGACTAAGACCAGGTTGAATTTGTATGTAAACTGTTGAGTTAAAGTTTTATTTTGGAGGACAGTAATTAAAAATTGCTATATATGTCACAGAACATAGATCAGCCATCGACAGGCAATGATTACAGTAATTGTCTTATCCAGAAATACCCCAGATTTTCGGTATTTTATCTCCAGAAATAAGACATCAATCTCAAGGAATTTTTTATCAGATCTTCAGATTTGTTGCTGTTGGAGGTTGGCAGGTCTGTAAACGAGAGCATGCGGACAATGGGATATTTTGGGCTGTAAGAAGCGCCGATAAATAAAAGCACACTGCTTGCCTCTAGAATAAACGTGGATACAAAGAAATAAAGAAATAAAGCCAAAGCACAAAGAAATAAAGCCATACTAACCTGGTTTCTTCGGGAAGTAATCACGTATATTTTGCATTTTCAGAATTCAGATCCACTGATCCAGAGTAAAAAGCTTGCAAATTATGTGCACGCAATTCAATAATCCCCCGCCGTTCCCCCCGGAATTACGACATCTGGACAGACACAAGGACAGACACAAGATCTCGATCTCGCCAATTACATAGATCGGCGCAAAAGACTGGGTCGAGTGAGCGAGAAACCTTCATGTCAAGATTAGGACTTAGGAGTGCTGCCTTCGGCAGCAATAATAGTGGTAAAATATGTGGAATATTAAATTTATGTTCGCTCGAACTTTGGGCAATCTCGCGATTATTATCAGTAGTTTAAATGCATCCTAAATATCAAACAATATGTATGATACAAACATTAAATTGCTGAGGACATTAAATTGCTGGCAAATGAATGTGGTTATCGACGCGATGTGTCCTTTATTCCGAAACAATACCCATTGTCAGAACAGTTTTCATTTAAAACTACTGACAGTGAAGAAATTAGTCAAATTATAAGCTCAATGTCTTCCAATAAAGCCCCAGGAATTGATCAAATTCCCATTCGCGTAATAAAAGACTGTCTGACATCTATACTGCCTACACTTACATCTATTGTCAATTCCTCACTAGCTACTTCTACCTTTCCCACTGTTTGGAAAATAGCAGAAATAACACCCATTCCTAAAGATGGAGATCACGAACAAGCGATCAATAATAGACCTATTTCATTATTACCTGTATTGTCGAAAGTCTGCGAACGAGCTGCCTATAATCAGCTTTCTTCCTATTTATTAGAAAAGGAAAGATTAACGCAACACCAGAGTGGAAATAAGAAATGGCACTCCACCGAAACTTCTGTTATTCAAACTACAGATGCCATGCTCAAAGCCATAGACAAAAGAAGCTTACTGCTACAGTCTTTTTGGACATGAGCAAGGCGTTCGACAGCATTGATCACGAATTATTAATATCTAAATTGGAAGATGTTGGAGTCTCCAATATGACACTTCTTTGGTTTCGCAGTTATCTTTCAAACAGGAAACAAGTTGTAAAGATCCACTCAACTAAATCAGAACTTCTTCCTGTGGTCAGTGGTGTACCCCACGGAAGCATTCTCGGCCCTATTTTGTTTAGCATATATGTTAATGACTTGCCATCCGTTCCAGAGAAATGTAAATCTAACAGTTATGTGAACGACACAAAACTTAGCGTTTCCTTCCATCTACAAAACAAGCAAGGTGCCATTGAAGATATGAATGAGGATCTTTTGAAAGTGCGAAACTGGTGTTTCAACAACCTTCTCTTATTAAATCCAAAAAAGACAAAGCTCATGGTTTTCCGAAGTAGACACAAATTAGCGGACCTAAATGAGTTTAGCCTGTCCCTACTTGGGAAAAATATATTCCCTTCCGAAACAGTGAAAGATCTAGGAGTTACTCTCGACCCTCTCCTTTCTTATGACGAACACATAACTAAGACGATCTCTTCGTGTATGTCCCGCCTCGGTCAGATAAATCGTATTAAGCATGTACTGGACAGGCAAACACTTATCACTGTAATAAACGCTCTTGTCTTCAGCAAGTTATTTTACTGTTCGAATGTTTGGGCCAATACAACTGGCAAAAACATAAACAAATTACAATCTGTACAGAACTTTGCCTGTCGTCTCGTTAGCGGAGCACGAAAGTATGATCATGTTACACCACTTTTAAAAGAATTAAGATGGCTTCCTGTGGCAACTCAGTTGTACTATCGTAGCGCCACTATGGCTTTTAAGTGCATGACGGGCTGTGTCCCAGCTTATATTTCATCCCAATTTATAAAGCGTCAGGAAGTATCTAACCATCATACTAGGAATTCACAACAACTTAATATTCCGTTATTTAAAACGGCAACAGGTCAACGGACATTTTATTACAAGATTGTTAGTCTATGGAATTCTTTAGACTCTTCTTTAAAACTTTGTGAATCAGTTGATTCTTTTAAACGTCGTTTGAAGACGAAGTTATTGCATGAGTTTTTGAGCAACTAGGTTCTTACGCATATATCATAGGCTTGTAATTGTATTATTAATATTATATAGTTATTATAAATTAGTTATTCTGCATGTAATTAGGTAATTGTCTTTGAAAAGCCTCTATGGGGAAAGATAATAAAGTATCAATCAATCAATATATACTATGTATACCAATTTGTTGTTTCACTGATGACTACTTGCTTTATGAATTAATTCCAAATCCATTTTGCATGACTTATTTATACGAGTTACTAGTTTTTAATGTTGATTACACATGGTGTCGTCGCTCGAATTCACCCATACAGAGGCTTATTATCCACCAGCTGCCTGGACAACTATAGCCTAAGGACCCCTGGTTATTTATCCACCTAACATAATCTGGTTAATTCAACCTGGTCGTCTTTCCTTAACCATTTATTGTGCACAGGAATTGACCACATGGAAACAAGGCCATTTCAGGGGCAAAAAGATGGTAAACAGTACAGTCTATTGATGGCCAAGTTTCCAACTATACCCAAATTAAAACAATTATACACAGCAATGTGATGGCAAATGTCAATAAAATGAAATAATACTTTTCGAGTTGATGAATCAAAACCGTTGCAAAAAACATGGCAAGGTGTTTTAAAGTAAATTTACATAATTAAAGAGCAAACAAATACGCATGCAGATTGCAGTGCACAAACAGCTAGTAAACACCACTGGTTTAGTACAATTGTAATTGGTCAAGTGTTCATTTTGTCAGCAACTCAGTGTATTTTTTATTTGTAATCTTTTGAGTTAAGAAAATATACATGTATTGTACTGTTTACGAGTTTCATATTGTGATTTTCTATTTAGCCATAATCCATCGCAAATAGACACAAGGTGCTATCCTATTTGATAGCAATGGTCATAGCCCATTTCGCTGCAACGTAACTGTCTCGAACCACGGAATTCATTTTTTTTAATTGGGTGTAGAAACACTTCCATCGAAATTGAAGGTATACAAGATGTCTCCAACTGAATGCACACGCCTGCTTCCGGCACTACAGGCACCATGTTTTGTGATATTACTATGCTAGTGTCAGTGAAGTTTTAGATTTTCATACTGGATGAAAACCAGAGGAACTGAGGATAGTGCGCAGTTTCAAGAAACTACTCGTACGCGTGAGCTTTGTTTACATTTCAGTATCCTGTGAAATTATTGACGAAGTTGTGACAACTACAATAATTTGAAAATGTGTTGGGACAGATGCTCCAAGTACCTATAATTCTGAAAAACTTTGATCCCACCCCCTGTTGAACGTTGGGTTGCAGTTAGCATGTTATTTTGGTGTACTCTAATGTCTGGATTGGGTAACACCATTGAACGTGGAGGGGGAAGGGAAAACAAATTTTTGTAATAATTTGCACATGAGGTCTCACTTATAGCGAGAAAAACGTAAGGTAGTTTTTACTGCGCATATTGGCGGCCATGTTCTTAGCAAGTGCCCTGAAGAGAGGCATTCACCACCTGGATCATTAAATTTCAATATGTTTTCTGGGGAGACGGCCTCTTTTTAGGCCACTTGCTAAGAACATGGCGGACTGGAAAAATCCCTTACGCTGAAATTAATAAGAAGTGAGACATCTATATGGTATTTACTCTGTGCTAATGATCTAAAACCGCAAGTGTCCCAACAACTTTTGAAAATAATAGCAGATTCATTTTCTTGTTTCTAGAGTAAAATGTAGCACGATCTGGTTCTGCACCACTTAGATCATGTACAAGGCTATTGTTAGGCCGTTTGTATCACAAGTTGGAAAATCCAATGTTCTACATTTGAAATAAAGTTCGTCTTTAACATTGAAAAAATGATCATCTCTGTGTGTCCAGTCACCCTTAATGAAATGTGTCAAAAAGAACTTTCTAGTATTGTATGGCAAAATTGGATGAGTTATACAGTCATAATTCATATAAATACATTGGCACATATGTACATCAGGGCCGCCCAGAGACATTTAGGGACCCGGGACAGAATACAACTTTGGCTTCCTAAGAGAGGATTTGGGACGCCCTTTAGCCTGAGGAAAATTGCCCCTTATGCCTCGCACCCCTCTCTTCGGGCAGCCCTGCTGTACATTGGCCTAAAATCCCAGGAAGGTTGGTGTCAAGGCCGCTGTACGTCTCCTAAATTTTTCCACCTCCCCACCAAAAGTTCTTCGAAAATGAACATCTCCATCGTTTCCAAGTTATTGTGCATTTTGTATTTTTGTCAGGATGTTACTGGTCAGTTGTGCATGTGGTGGCAGCAAAAAGAAGAAAGTCTAATAGGCCTAACTCAAAAGTGATTCGACGAAATTAAATTAAATTTCGTACAGTAACGCTTGTGTAGTTGTCATATATAGTGTCAACACACTAGTTGCCACGTCTCTCTCTTCTTATTTTAGTAACCCCTCAAATTGTCTTCTAAGCTAAGCGCCTTAGTACAAGTTTGCATCGTTCAATTCATTATAATCGCATGATACATTTAATGTATTTCTTAAATTTAAAATGAAGAATAATTCAGTGATTACCTTGATTGTTAAGTTCTATGCGATTATTCAGCTATATATAGAGATTATTTAATTCTAAATAAAGGTTCTCCAACTTCTTTTACTCCTTCGCGAGTTGGGCAGCCTATAATCCCACTATATACGAGAAGTCTATAGTCTACATTTTGTAACGGCTATAATACATGCAGCGGTAAAAATAATATACTCTTTATAGTCACATAGGAACAACAGATATCGAATGCGTACTCAATTTATAAAGACATTTTGACTCGTACCAATGTCCTGGCGAGGGTGCGAAGTGTTCTCTTAAATAAAGTTTGCCGAAAAATATTCAATATCGAGACTTAAAATGGAAAAAAGTTTTGTAAAGAAGAGACTAAAAATATTAAGAAAATATTTGTTATTATAGTATTTGCTGTTAAAAAGCTCTTCTGGAATATATCATGAGTTTGCCCACTGAACCATTAAACATGCGTTTCTTTCTCAAATTTACGGCTTACGAGATAACCTGCGATCAGGCTCTCGAAATTTCCCCCGAGCATGCAAAAATGTTTCAAGAGCAAATCGTATTTACAAGAGTAAAATTCACACTTACGCGGTTAAACTATTGTGTTTTTATATGCAAGACAAAACCATTGTTCATCATTTAACCGAGAAGACTGAAGTCGGTTTTTATTCACGATAATAAACGAGCCTGAGGTGAATAATTGTTTTAGTAGATATAAATTCATAATTGATCATTTGCAAAAAATAAAAAAATACACATTTCTTCGTCATTTAATTGACAAAACGGCTTCGGCAGCCATTTCGAAAATCGCTTAGGTGATTATCGCTTTATAATCACCTCAACGGCAACCAATCAGCGTGGAGAATTTTCAATAATCACCTATGTAATTATATACTAAATTCATATATAGACAAATTCAATCTGGCAGATTTATAAGAGCACGCTGTATTCATGATTCGATCACGAATTTCTATACGTTTCTACCCTTCTATATGTTTCTAGAATTACTACGTTTTGTCTTACAAGAATTTCTACGTTTTGTCTTAGGGGCTGTTTATATGAGGCGAGCCAGCTCGGGTACCCAAGCTACAATAGGGACCTTAAGCAAACAGGACAGCAACGCGACGACGACGGCTATTCACACAATGATATTCCTGATCTAGTACAAAAGAAGTGAATAATTAAAAGCCCCACGGGAGTTAGAGACGTTGTGTTAGGGCTTTTTACAACGGCAAACCAGAGATTTTCACGTCTCGTGTACAACGCAAACATGTCAAGACGCGACAAGTGAAACTACAAATTTGCTCAGCAGAAGCGTTTTTAACCATAAATCCTTTGTTTTAATCTCTTCAAACTGAACTCAATTCATATATACTGTAGATGTTGCGGATAATGCACAACACCTTCGCAATAATTTATTTGTTTTGGCTGTCGTCCTGGTGTTGCCGTCGTACATGCTTAAGGTCCCTATTATCTCACAGAAAGGTCCCCCGCTCACACGGGAAAATCTTTAAAAAAGGCCCGGACCAGTATACCAAAAAAACTATTAAATGTCTGTTTACATATTAAATTTATACTTCTGACAACACCACATGTTGTTCGATCACCAGCGCCGTAGCAACCGGGGGCGGGGCGGCTGCAGCCCCCACAACAATTTGCTAATAATTATTCATTTTTCAAAATCATGCAGACCTTTATCATTTAATTCATGACAAACTGCAAAGAATGAAGATATTACCCATACTTTCCTGCAACTTATCCAATATAAAGTTAATTAAATACGCCTTCGCCCATTTAGTACTACAGAATCGTAAATTTCGCTGTTTTCTGACCATCAGAATTCTGTCAAATCTTCCCCAAAGTCCAGGAAATGGCATTTCAGAGACTCTAAATTTAAAAATTTCCTCGGGTCTTCGGTCCCCGCTTTCAGCCCCCCCCCCCCAATCGAAAAGAGCTTCCTACGGCCCTGATCACACATGCAATAGTGTAATCGGGCACAAATTAAACTATATATATCAATTTATAATGAAATCCACAGCAATCAGATGGACAAAAAAATTGTTTGCAGAAGGAAGCAGGCGCAAAAAAATTGTTTGCAACGACAACAGCACCAAAAAAAATTGTTTGCGTTGACGAAATGTCCATCCCCCCCCCTCCCCTCCAAAAAAATAATGGTCCGTCCCTAAGCGACTTTTCGTGCCACAGAATACGGCCTAAGTGTATAGTATTTGCATATCTGCATGATTGTGTTTTTCATAGTGTAAATTTGAGTTAATTTAAAAATGCATGACCGATATTTAAGAAGTGAAGCGTGTGTTCTCAATGACGACTAGAGTAAACACAGAATCGTTTTGAAATAGAATTTAAGAAATAATATTCACAGTGTCACGCTCCAGTTAATACGAAGCACTCAATGGGCAATTCCAGCTATAGATTCATATAGACTAAATTTTGATCTAGGCAAGAAGAACAAAATCCATCTAGAAAGAGCATGTTAAAATTAGTAAAATTGCAAAGTTTGGATGCAAAATGTTGTAAAATGAGGAAAATAATAGCCCTACGAAATTTGCAAATTTTGTACACCAGTACACCACATTTGGGCTGAAAGTGGTGCAAATTCCCGTGCGTACTGACAAATTGATACAAAATTTGCAAATTTCGCAGGGTTATATTTTCCTCATTTTACAACATTTTGCAACCAAACTTTGTAATTTTACTAATTATAACATGCTCTTTCTAGCTGTTCTGATGGATTTTGTTTTTCTTGCCCAAATCAGAATTTAGTCTATAGCTGGAATTGCCCATTACGCTAATATTGTACATGTTTAACTGCAAATTTCGCCAAGACACAAAAGAATCCCAAACATCTGAAATCGTCGTCGAATGGCTAAATCCTAGTCCTAACAAATTATGCATATGTACATTTATAAAGGAAGTAGGACCATATTTAAATAGGCGATTCACAAGACGTACTTTGGCTAGTTTGGAAAACCTGGAAATTTCAACCATCTTTGATCTAAAATAACCAAGTCAATAAGTTTCGATTTATGGAGAAAAGATATCATGAGAAAGTTCCATATATTCTAAAAACATATATTGTAACAGCAGAGCAAAAACTTATAATGCGCGCTCAACACAGCACATGATGTTGACTCTACGAACAACAAGACATAAAACAAGAACGACATTTAGAGCAAAACGTTTTCCAAGTCCTTGGCCTATTAACATCAAAACATGCATTAAAAAAAAAACAAAAAAAAAACATTAACATGCATTAATATAATACCTATACAAAGTTTTTAATTGAAGAGATATAACTAACCTTCAATGGAAAGCTCATCAAATGATACGTTTAATACTGACTCTTCGAATGTGTCTTCTGAATTCTCCATACTTGCTATAAGCGAGCTTAAGATGTACCAAATCTACGACGCGGACGTGACATAAAAACCGTTGCTGATGTTTCGAATCCAGTTTTATTTTGCTTCACTAGTGCGGTGTCTCTGACTTTGTTTATCAACTGGAGGCCATAATTTTTATCCGTGTAATGAAACTGTGGGAATAGTTACAGTTTTTCTTCACGTCCTCGTCGTAGATTTGGTGCATCTTAAGCTCGCTTTGATAAACATATACCCCCCCCCCCCGAACAGGGCACAGATAATTGAAAACAGTTTAACGTCTTCAAATCACATGGAGAACGCTAATATTTTAACACTGTTTTGAGCGTCCTTCTTATATACACCTTCGCTGAAAAGTTTGTGTTAATTGCTCAAAAGAATTTGGAGTTATTCAAATTCTAGCACTTTTTCGACCTATTTAGCACTTTTTCGACCCACTTCTGGCAGAGTTATGAGCTTCCTGCTTTCTCCGCCCGCGCGTCTTTCACACAGCGGTTCGATACGGTAAACGCCATGTAAAGCTCATTGAAACCTCTGCGGAGTAGAGAGCGTCAGTAGCATAGCATCTGTTAGTTTTCAATCTCATAAGCCAATCACTAGCCTCCACAACTGTAACGTTGATTGGCTGAACAAATCGAAACCTTCCAAGAACAAGTAAGCGTCTTTTGCGCAGAAAAAGTATAGCTTGGATAGGAGATTGATCAGCGACTTTCTGTTTTTGCTTCCTGTTTCACTTTAATCTCGTACACAGGGTTTCTGCGCTTGCAATGCTTTGGTTCGATACTACATGACATATGCGACATTTTACAATTACAATTCAGACGTCATAGCAGCCCCTGAGAATGTTTTGCCCCGAGTTAAACGTGATTGGCGCTGACCAAATTAAAAGGTACATGTATCAAATGCTACCGATCCCTATTAAAACTGTTATACCTGGTTTACGAAATAGCAAAACTATCATATAATAATTATTTTTGCGCAAACACCACATAAATTTATTATTGCAAAGTTTTCGATCCGTAACTCGTAAGCCCGCATCAGAAAGTTATCATTTTGTCCTTTACTACTTGTTTCATACCCTGGATTCCAGAGCCTTCGACAGTAAATAATAAATTGAAATGTCGCGAAGGCTCTGGTTCAACGGCGCGATTCTTTGATTAAACCGCGCCAATCACAAAACAGAATTAGTGGTTTTAGTACAGAATCTACTAAAACCACTAATTCTGTTTTGTGATTGGCGCGGTTTAATAAAAAAATCGCCCCGTTGAACCAGAGCCTTCGCGACATTTCAATTTATTATTTACTGTCGAAGGCTCTGGAATCCAGGGTACTGGTTTCAAAACTTCCAACTTAAGTGTTTACTGACTTATAAGAAGGATGTTTTTTTAGAGTACAATGTTAAAAAAGTACTGGTTGAAATTACTATTATTACTACTTTATGAATGAATTGACAATCCACATAATTTTTTGTATCCCTATCAATTTGAAGCTTTAATAAAGCACACAACAGAGGTTCAGATTTTGACTTTCACTGCCGTCACCAATAACCAATCAGAAGAATCTATTATGTCCGATTAACCAATCAAATACGTATTATTTAAACATACACAAGGTAGTGGAAGTCAAATCTGAACCTCTCTATTAATGAATCAAGTGCTTTTAAAGAAGAAGAAGCAACTTCCCTCTTCCAGAGTTTAGCAAATATTTATGGGGTAAACGGCTCAACATATAGTTGTTTTACCCATAAACCACACCAGTCAACCCTAACAGTTCTTTATATCAAGAAGTACCCTCAATTTATCATCATTCAAGCGGCTGTATCGCTCAGTCTGACGTGTGTGGTGTTACTAGCGTGTACCATGCATGTCTGTCGAGGCACTCCAAAAAGGAGAAAACTTCAGAGAATTGAAGAGAACATTAGGCACAAGAAACTATCAAAAAATGTGATCACATTTCACTGGACGGCACCAAGGAATAATACTTCCAGAAAGGTCATCCATGTTTGAATGTTTATAACAGCTATATTGAAATACACCTAAGATGGAACCCGAATGCTCAGCTTCAAAAGTAATTAAATTACAAGAAAATGTTGTTTTCTCTCATGAACAGTTAATGTTTGACCAGGAGGACTTTGTACTTGACTGGCGTAATTTAATTTTCGTTAATCTTTATGAAATTATTCGCAGCGCTGAAGTTCATGATATAATTCTTGCATGCATCTCATTGGACGAGAGCATGAAAGTCACAAAATTCGTGACAGTCTGCGGCTCTAAGCGGTGGACATTATACTTTTATATAGTGTCTAGTGAATAATAAAATCGTCGAGTCATAAAGAAAGGTTATTGAAATTTCACATTTCTTTTTGTCTTCTTTCACACTTGGTATATAATAAAATATTTATCGAATATACTCTTTCCCGAAAGTCCTAGTCAATGAGAGTTAAATATACTTAATACATCACCGCTCCTAGGTAGTTTTGCGAGGGAATATACATGAAGTGTTTTGTTGCATAAAGACGAAGAAAAAATAAATAAAACTATTTTAACAATAAAATAACCTGCTAGAAAGTGTCTCACCAGCATCCCCTTTTATGTATTTTTCTTCTTGTGAGATACTGCATGTATTCTTTTCGTGAAACTGGAAAAACGTTTTTAAACTTTTGACTTCATTTTGATCGTTTCGCTTGTTGCCCGGTGGAACACATTCGGCATTTCTCAAAATCCACGTGACCACAAATTATAGCCAATCACGTTTAGTTTAATATTGTTTTCACCACTCGAAGACAAAAGTCATATCTTCGCGCCGCCGTGTAATATCCTCTATTTATTGCGTTAATGTCTCTTACCACCTTTTCTTAATTTCGTGAAATTGACATTGCTAGATTATAGTCAGGTGAAACATGAATTATACTCTATTTTTTACTACCGTGGTTATATACTTTCATTTGATCTGCTTTAAAGCTATCGTTAAGAAAATATTCCAAGATTGTAATGTAGAAATCTTTATTGAGGAAACTTTTTCACTTAATTCTAAAATACAAAGAACTTATCACAAATTATAATAACAAAGTAGTCGCGATATTTCGGGGGACATGCATGCCATAACAATGATTTTCAATACCTAATGTTAACTATTTTTACCGGCTTAAAATGTTTTAACAATGTACTTTAAGAAACATATCCTTCTTGTTTAAGTTAAACAAGCAAACTCAGACCCTTTGAAAGCAGTAAACCATTGCTCTCGTTGTTCCACAGGACATAGTTCGTAGAAGCGAGGCACAGTAGTCACGATGTACCCAAGAACTTCCTCTCCGTCCTTTTTACTGACGAAATTCCAATCTTCAGTTGGAACTATCAAAGTAAAGAAAATAATTTTAAACACATAAATTACAGTATTTCTAACACTCGTCATTTTATATCGAGCACAATAATAGTATAGAAAATATGTAATTTAGATCCTTCTTTATTCCATTTAACTTGTTCGTTGAAAAATATAATATGAAATTGAATGTACGTTACGTGCTAGATTTTATTAAATGAAGTATGCTGTACACAGCTAATTCAAAAAAGGTTGTCCTATGCAAACCTTAAATTCTAAACCTTAAACTCTAAGCGTACAAAGCCTAATGGGAGTAACATTTAATTAGTTTAGAAATCATATATGGGGCCCATTTCTTACAAACATGGCAAATATCTCCTTACGAGAACGATTCATTCAAAAATTGCTCCAATATTCAACTACTAAGCGTGAAACTTGTGCTTCCATTAAGCTTTACGCGCTTAGAGTTTAAGGTTTACGGTTTAGAGTTTGCAAAGGACAACGTTTTTTGAATTTGCTCTATATGAACTTACCCGAACCCAAATACAAACACAACTGACAGCCATAACTTTTATCAAACGCCGGGTCAGTCTTTAACACGTAATTTGTTAAACCGAGATCTTTGGCAAAATTCTCCATCGTCCAAACCACATCTTCTGAAGAGATTTCGTCTTTCTTCCCAAAAAACCCGATTTTTGGATGGCTTTGATGGAGAGCTGTTGTAATTCCCGATTCACCGACTATGGGCAACTGAACATGGGGCAGGTCCACAGCTTCACGTCTTAGTTCCTCGAAGGCGGCCACATCTTCATCAAAGTGATCTTCTTCAGGATAGTCACCGACTCTTTTGGTGTATTTTGCATACCTCTGATCTGACCAGTCAAAAATGTTATGCTTTTCTTGCTCAAACACTTGCAAATAGAGCTCGACATCTACGCAGATATGGGCATGAAATGTTTCGCCCCTCCCGATCTTGCGCAACCACGATCCTCGACGAATAGACAGAATACCACTAGATATACTAAACCGTGACATCATAGACCGAACCGCTTCCATAAGCTTCTCTCTTTGCTCCGGTGTCGTGCTGCCAAAATCTGGAGGCTTAATATCTTCCTGTTGTTTAGCTAATACTATGAAATGAGGCCTAGGTTTATAGGTGTCGAACTCTACAGTAAACGAATGGTTCTCATTCGACAGTAAATCGTACGCGTACGTTTGACTAGCCATGATGCGAAAATTCAAAATGATAGCTTTGCTGTTGTTTCGTAAAGCGGTATAACAGTTTTAAGAGGCGTTGCCCCGCGTCGGTAGCATTTAAATCTGATCAGCCCAATCACTAGCCTCCACCACTGTAACGTTGATTGGCTGAACAAATCAAAACTACTTCAAAAAACAAATAAGCGTCTTTTCCGTAGAAAAAAGAGCTTGGGTACGCGATTGATGAGAGATTTTTGTTTATGCTTTCTGTTTCACTTTAACCTCGTAACCAAAGCTACGACCACGCTGCATGCGACGCTTTGAATCAATTTAAATCCTACATGACATATACGAGCCTTTAGAGCTACCGACGCCTATTAAAGCTGTTATACCTGCTTTACAAAACAACAGCAAAGCTATATCATTTTGAATTCGTGCATCATGGCTACATACGATTTATTAGAGAACTATTCCTTTTTTGTTAACTTGCACACTTCAACCCCTAGGCCTCACTTGATCATATTACCTAAAAGTAGTTATCCCTATCAATCCGAAGTTTCGTTATTATTAACACTACCTGCACTGGCACAGATCGTTCGGTAAAATTCTAGCCATTCAGTTCATTTTGGAGGACGAATCTTCAAGCTCACTATTCCCTATTGACCAATTAAATTTGTGACAATTACAATGACCATTGGTCAATGGGGAATAGTGAGCTTGAAGATTCGTCCTCCAAAATGAACTGAATGGCTAGAATTTTACCGAACGATCTGTGCCAGTGCAGGTAGTGTTAATAATAACGAAACTTCGGTTTGATAGGGATAACTACTTTTAGGTAATATGATCAAGTGAGGCCTAGGAGTTGAAGTGGGCAAGTTAACAAAAAAGGAATCGTTTTCTAATAAATCGTATGTAGCCATGATGCATGAATTCAAAATGATATAGCTTTGCTGTTGTTTTGTAAAGCAGGTATAACAGCTTTAATAGGCGTCAGTAGCTCTCTCCTCCGCAGAGGTTTCAATTATTATTTTGTTATTCTCAAAACTGTAAAAAGTGTTTACTAGATCTATGGACGACACAAATTTAGTAGAAAAACTTGACCTAAAACACTTTTGTTTTGGAAAAGCGTTATTGTTAGAATGGAGAAATGAGAAAACGTGTTGTCATGCTTGTTTTACAGAATATGGGAAATCGAAATATTTTTTAAAATGGACTTTATGTCCATTACAGATCGCTTCATCGGCGATCGCATTTCAGCGAAGAAACAACGGTTAAAAAAGGAGTAGAACTACTGCAGGACTTGGTTGCAACTGAAACTTTTAACAATCTCCAAAAGTTTTCCAATATGAGGCGATTAACCGCTTAGGTTGTTGTTCATGTTCAGCTTTGGATGGGCTTAGTTGATGTTTACATGCTTGAAATACAACATCTGCTTGACTATCTATAAGTAAGAATTTGCATAATTGTAAATCAGGGTAGCCAGATACAGGCAGAATTTTATAAAAATTGAATCCTATTTGACATAATCAACAAACTATTGTTTACCAATTGAAATATAAATCATAGATGACATATCCCTAACACATATCCCTCATTTTTATACTAGACGGCAGACCCATCAATTTTGCATTTCCATTTACAAAATTACAGTACAAATTACTTTATAATTGTGCTGTAAAGAACTCGAATTTCTTTAAATATAGTTACAGCTACTGATTTAAAAGTATAATTATCAATGGAAAATTGAGAAATAATATACACAAATAACAAAGCGTGAATAAGTGAATTTAATTATTATTTATACTAAAGACACTCAGACACAGTACTATCATAATATAATAACTATACAAAGTTTTTAATTGAAGAGAAAGAACTTGTTTGACACTAACCTTCAACGGAAAGCTCGTCAAATGATACGTATAATACTGACTCTTCGAATGTGTCTTCTGAATGGGCTATTCCATTTAATATCCGTACACCCCCTGTCGAGGATACATGTTTTTCATGGTTATACCCCTGAAGAATTCCAAGCTCAAAACCTTTTACCCCTGAAGAAATCCAAGCTCAAAACCTTTTCCCCTGAAGAATTCCAAAATTCCAAGCTCAAAACTCCTTACCCCTGAAGAATTCCAAGCTTAAAACCTTTTAACCCTGAAGAATTCCAAGCTCAAAACCCTTCACCCCTGAAGAATTCCAAACTCAAAACCCTTTACCCCTGAAGAATTCCAAGGTCAAAACCCTTTATCTTTGAATAATTCCAAGCTCAAACCTTTTACCCCCTGAAGAATTCCAAGCTCAAAACCCTTTACCCCTGAAGAATTCCAAGCTCTGAAAAATTTCAATCTCAAATGTCTTTACCCCTGAAGAATTCCAAGCTCAAAACCTCTTACCCCTGAAGAATTCCAAACTCAAACCACTTTACCCCTGAAGAATTCCAAGCTCAAAACCCTTTACCCCTGAAGAATTCCAGGGATCCTCGACAGGAGGGGGGGGGGTACAGATATTAAATGGAATAGCCCAATAAGCGAGCTTAAGATGTACCAAATCTACGACGCGGACGTGACATAAAAACCGTTGCTAATGTTCGTAATCCAGTTTTATTTTGCTTCACTAGTGTGTCTCTGACTTTATTTATCAACTGGAGGCCATAATTTTTATCCGTGTAATGAAACTGTAGGAATAGTTACAGTTTTTCTTCACGTCCGCGTCGTAGATTTGGTGCATCTTAAGCTCGCTTTGATAAACATATACGACCCCCCCCCCCGAACAGGGCACAGATAATTGAAAACAGTTTAACGTCTTCAAATCACATGGAGAACGCTAATATTTTAACACTGTTTTGAGCGTCCTTCTTATATACACCTTCGCTGAAAAGTTTGTGTTAATTGCTCAAAAGAATTTGGAGTTATTCAAGTTCTAGCACTTTTTCGACCTATTTAGCACTTTTTCGACCCACTTCTGGCAGAGTTATGAGCTTCCTGCTTTCTCCACCCGCGCGTCTTTCACACAGCGGTTCGATACGATAAACGCCATGTAAAGCTCATTGAAACCTCTGCGGAGTAGAGAGTGTCAGTAGCATATATCATTTTGAATTCGTGCATCATGGCTACATACGTCAGTACAAGGTCTTGTATTCATGGGCCAAAACTCAAAGAAACAAAATTATAAAATTTAAAAGAAATACTGTATTTCAAGGTGCTTACTTGTTTTTGGAAGGTTTCGATTTGTTCAGCCAATGATTGGCTGATGAGATTGAAAGCTAACAGATGCTACCGACGCCTATTAAAACTGTTATACCTGCTTTACAAAACAACAGCAAAGCTATATCATTTTGAATTCATGCATCATGGCTACATACGATTTATTAGAGAACGATTCCTTTTTTGTTAACTTGCACACTTCAACTCCTAGGCCTCACTTGATCATATTACCTAAAAGTAGTTATCCCTATCAAACCGAAGTTTTGTTATTATTAACACTACCTGCACTGGCACAGATCGTTCGGTAAAATTCTAGCCATTCAGTTCATTTTGGAGGACGAATCTTCAAGCTCACTATTCCCCATTGACCAATGGTCATTGTAATTGTCACAAATTTAATTGGTCAATAGGGAATAGTGAGCTTGAAGATTCGTCCTCCAAAATGAACTGAATGGCTAGAATTTTACCGAACGATCTGTGCCAGTGCAGGTAGTGTTAATAATAACGAAACTTCGGATTGATAGGGATAACTACTTTTAGGTAATATGATCAAGTGAGGCCTAGGAGTTGGAGTGCCCAAGTTAACAAAAAGGAAATTGTTCTCTAATTAATGGTATGTATAGCCATGATGCACGAATTCAAAATAATATAGCTTTGCTGTTGTTTTGTAAAGCAGGTATAACAGTTTTAATAAGCGTCGATAGCAACTAATAGTTTTCAATCTCATCAGCCAATCACTAGCCTTCACTACTGTAACGTTGATTGGCTGAACAAATCGAAACCTTCCAAGAACAAGTAAGCGTCTTTTACGTAGAAAAAGAAGCTTGGGTATGAGATTCATCAGCGACTTTCTGTTTATACTTTCTGTTTCACTTTGACGTCGTACCCAGGGCTTCTGCACTTGCAACGCTTTGGTTCGATTTAAATACTACATGACATATGCGACATTTTACAATTACAATTCTGACGTCATAGCGGCCCCTGAGAACGTTTTGCCCTGGGTTAAACGTGATTGGCTGACCAAATTAAAAGCTATACTGTACATGTATCAGATGCTACCGATCCCTATTAGTATAGGTAATCATGCGATGGCGAGTACAATTAGGGATCAACATCGCATGATTACTTGCTTATTATTAGCATATGACAAAACTGGATACTTCTCCGTCAACACCATTTTCTCACGCCAAAGCCCAATCCCGCCACACTTTCAACCAAAATTTGGTACTTTTGTTCGTATTTTCATCTAGTTCCTCAAGGGCAATTTCATTTCACATTTGTGTTCAAAATACCTTTCCGCCATTTTGTTTGTTTTGGGAAAATCATTAACTACTGCAGTACAATTAATGAAATAATTGTACTCCTCTCAACCAATCAGCATCCAGTAATTTTGTCATGCTAATAATAAAAACTGTTATACCTGGTTTATGAAATAAAGTAAAACTATCATATAATAATTCTTTTTGTGGAAACACCACATAAATTTATTACTGCAAAGTTTTCGATCCGTAACTCGTAAGCCCGGATCTTCATCAGAAAGCTCATCATTTTGTCCTTTACTACTGGTTTCAAAACTTCCGACTTTAAGTGTTTACTGACTTAAGAACGATGTTTTTTAAAGTACAATGTTAAAAATATTTTAAGTACTGGTTGAAATTACTACTATTACTACAATATGAATGAATTGACAATCCATTTTGTATCCCTATCAATCTGAAGCTTTACCGGTAATACAACACAACAGAGGTTCAGATCTTGACTTTCACTACCGTCACCATTAAACAATCAGAAGAATCTATTCTATCCGATTAACCAATCAAATGCGTATTAAGGTGGCTCGATATAGTTATTACAAAAACCCTGCTCAAGAATCGCGAACTCAAAACTGGGTGACCATTTTTACGCGCAGGTCGCGGAAACTGATTAACAAAATGAAAGAACTTCCAAAATGACCTGACGTGAGCAGTTGCTCGCGCCATATCACGCCATTGCGTCATATAGCGTTTTATGTCAATTGCTGACGTCATTAGAATTTTCCATTTTAGAAAAACAATGCGCTATATCTCTTTATTTTGTCTGGTGACCTATGTTCAAATTTTGCATGCTGTATTGCACCGCTAAAAACTTTCATTATACAAAAAATAAAAAAATTCTGTAATGCCAAAAAAATTTTACAGAAGATTATGACATTTTCGCATTTTCCAAAAAAATGGCATTACAGAATTTTTTTATATTTTGCTAATTGTTAGCTTTTCGTCCAAGTAAAATAATGCACAAAAAAAAATTGGGGGTCACCATGCTTCTTTTCCAACTATACGAGACGATAGGCCATTTTGGAGTGAATTTCGTTCACGTATGTCGTCATAGCAACGGACTATCTGTTATTAAAACTAATATAATTTCAAAGTAGAGATATCAAAATATATAAAAACCGCAATAGCTGCTGAATAAATCCTAAAAATGCGTAGTTTGAACGTGTCAAAGTGTTGAACACCTGTATTTCTGAAAACTGTATCGAGCCACCTTAAGCCTACAAGAGGTAGTGGAAGTCAAATCTGAACCTCTCTATTAATGAATTAAGCTTTTTAATGAATGACCACATACCTATACACAGAAACTATTGTATGTCGACGAATGACCACATACCTTATATATACAGAAACTTATGTATGTCGATGAATGACCACATATCAGAAACTATTGTATATGTCGATGAATGACCACATACCTATACACAGAAACTACTGTATGTCGATGTTTGTCAGTCGTCTTTCCAAAGCAGACTTGTTAATGTAATCAAATTGGAAGGAAACTGATCGGAAAGAATAATTCCCTTATCACGATTACAGTCAAGTTCATCAATAAAACCAAACCAATAAATTACCATACCAGGACCGAATCTATAAACGTGGACAAAATTTACAGATAAGGTTTCACAAAACCGTGAGGAATGGGTTCGGAAAGGTGACTATAAATAAGCTTAGAGCTTAAATCGAGCAGGATATTATTATCATCTTAATTAATATTTAAACAGGGTATCGTATAGTGTTCTTAGTTGTTCAGTGGGGTCCTGCAATTATAAATTACATCAGCACCTTACGTAAAACGTACATTATTTGCAATACATATATATATAATACAATTTACAGGAATTAATATATAGTGTAGGCTATAGCAAGTGACATTTGAGGAAAAACAGGAAGTAAAGCGAAAGAGTAAAGAAAAGTAAACATAATGAATCAGTGGATAAAGAAAGAGATAAAGTTGAAGAAAACTACAGAAAGAAAGATTGGAAAAAAGAGGCTATGTATATGTATACTGCTAGAGATTCAGTGTTTTTAAGTTCAGGTTCAAGGTTATTACATTATTGTTGTTGACAATAAAGGGACACAGCTTGGTGCATTTTCCGAACAAAAAATGTATAAAATTATGTCAGTGACGGACTGCAACAGAGGGAGTAGTTGTACAGTATATAAGAGGATTCAACAAGATCAGTTAATTCATGGACGATAATATATATTGTTGGCTTTCTTTGTTATTTTAAGAATGTAATAATAACATTATGCACCTATTCCAGTAGCTCCAAAACTGATCTTTCAAATAAGTCTTGTGACTGGACTCGTCACCAAATGATGCTTTGGATTCAATCCAATTAACTACACGACCATCCACAGCTAAAAATTTAAAAAATGATTAAAGAGAAAAACAGATCATTCTAGGATACGTTTGAACTACGCACTGTAATATGTACTCATTTTTATTTTTACCTATAGGAACTTGTAATTTGAAATCAGGCGTTTTATCATAACCTTGACTTCTCATGTCATTCTCCCCTAACGAAGGAAAAAAATAAGAGTCTCTGAGTCTGACACCTGTATTCTAAAAGCTCACTCACGCTCACACTCAAAGAGTGGAGGTTCAATCTGAGCTTCCCTTGAGTGTCAGTGCTGTTTTTGAATAGCTGGATAGTGTCGTACTTTACAATGCGACTACTCATCCTCCAGGTATTGAAAAACAGCATTGACACTCAGGGAAAGCTCAAATTGAACCTCCACTCTTTGAGTGAGCTTTGAGAATACAGGCGTGAGTGTATTGTTTTTCTAATGGTCGGTACCAGTGTAGCCTGTGCCACAGTTGTGCATGGCTAGTGTCAGTGTAATAGCGATGAAAACAAACAACCTGTAGTACAGGCCCGTTTACACTTTTTGCTGCAATTTTCGTCTTCTGATGGATGCAAACGAGTAAATAAGTTGTGAATTTTTAAATTTGCTGTGTTGGTGTAATGTACTCAGGTGAATAAGATGCTTGTGTGATGTTACTCTGAGTGTATATCCACACCGGGCAGGCTTGAAAAATTTGCCTGGCCACGTTGGGAATCGAACCTACGACCTCTGGAATCGTAGGTTCGATTCCCACCGTAGTCAGGCATATTTTTCAAGTTGTGAATGTTCCGAGTAAATGTCTCACTGATGTTCCCTCATCTCAACATTCATAACTCATCCACTCGTTCACATCCATCAAAAGAAGAACATCGCACAGAAATTGCAAGTGTAAACGGGCCTTTAAAAACAACCTGAAAATACAAAAAAAACTTCGACATTTCGAGGAAAGGCACTTCGACAGCATTTTCCCAATTCGTTGTATTTTTCAGGTATTTCTATTTCCTTCAAAAGACTGTTTTTTGTATTCTTTTTTCGCCATCATAAACTTAAACTAATAGGTCTGTGTTTCTTACCAAGAAATGGGATTTTCCACTCAGCCAATTTCTCTTCTAATATGTTTTCATATTCAAGACCAACAGAACTGCAGAATTAGCTAAGGAATTACACTTTTAGGGATTTTTTTAACCAATTTTAGGGAATTTCAAGTTATTATGATTTTTGTGTTGGTGGAATGTACTCAGGTGAATATGATGCTTGTGATGTTCGAACCGACATACTCGAACCGACCTGACCACGTAGCTCAGTTGGCAGAGCATTGCCATTGGGCTAGTATTCCAAAGGTCGTAGGTTCGATTCCCACCGTGGCCAGGCATATTTTTCAAGCTTGCCCGGTGTGGATATACACTCAGAGTAACATCACAAGCAACTTCAAGTTATTAACTTTGTCAACTGGAATCCATTTTCACACTACAGAGTGCAGTATGCACGAGTAGAAAAAGCTGCTGATCGAACATTTAGAGGAAATGTTACAATGTAAATTAGCCATTCCGAAATTGATGAGTGGACTGGGGACGAGTGTTAAAAAGTGCCCAAATTAAGAAATGAACCAAATCACTAAAAAGACCACCTCAACATTAGTAAGTATACAAAGTTTGAAGACGTTTACATGAATACCCTTTGAATAATAAGCTTTCGAAAATCCGATATTTACTATGAAATGTATTGCAATTCTTGTTTTTGGGACGCGCGTCCCCAAAACAATCTTTTAATCAGTAATTTCATAATTTTCGAAAGCTCATTATTCGAAGGGTATTCATGTAAACGTCTTCAAACTTTGTATACTTACTAATTTTGAGGTGGTCTTTTTAGTGATTTAGTTCATTTCTTAATTTGGGCACTTTTTAACACTCGTCCCCAGTCCACTCATCGACTTCGGAATGGCTAATGGCCAACAACGCATGATGGACAGACATCTTCCCCTGAATTTAAAACTATGGTTAGCCAGGACACTATGTTTACTTTAGGCACAGATATAGCACAAAAATACTCAGTTGGTCTGCAG